TCCTTTTATGTACTGTCTTCCCCCATTAGAACATAAGCTCCCTGTACTCTTGGAAAGAGGCTAAGAAGAGGGCATGGTTGACAGGGTCAAAAGCTTTTGAGATTCAGTTCAATACAATTTAATTTCATAGGCATTTATTAAGCACCTACCATTGCATGCCAAGTACCATACTAGGTATGGGCAATGCATGAACAAAAGGAAAAGCAAGACTCTGCCCTCCAGGAGCTCCCAATGGATTGAGGGTTTACAAGAGGAACCACAAAGAAAATGGCAGAAGAGGTTGAGCTGCTGGAGACAAGGAAAGAAACCGAGGCAGAGCCTGGAAGATAGTGAGCAAGAGGGTGAGGAAACATGTATGTGGGAGGGATGATCTGTGAGTGTGATATCAAGAGAAGTCTGTCAGGTTTATGCCAGGGTGCCTACAGGCTTGGACTTGCCATCACACCCCCTGGCAGAGCTTGCACGCTCCCTCTTGTTCCATTCTCTTAGGAGAAGTGAGGCAGCTGGTTAGCTGGTGGATCCAAAGCCAGATGCAGGGGGAGGGCAGTGGCCCTTCTGCAAAGCCACCCTCAGGGCCTCAGTTTGGTTCCCCAATTGGCATCAGGCAAAGCCTTGTGCAGTGGAGACAGCCAAGGTGAGAGAACTCAGCTTGGCAGCTAGGTGGCACAGTGGAGAGAACCCTGGACTTGGTGTCAGAAGACCTGAGTTCAAATTCCACCTTAGACACTTCCAAACCATGGGACCTTTGGCTTGTGTCTGAGGAAATCCTTAGTTTCCTCATTTGTAAAAGGAGGGTAATAAGAATTCCTGGCAGGGTTGTTGTGTGGATCAAGTGCAAGAAGGCAAAGTATTTTGCCAACATTAAAGGGCTATTTAAATGCTTATTATTTTATTCAGCTAGAAGGGGGAAGGTTTATGAGATCAGCTTTTTCTCATTAAAGTTTGAAACAGTTTGTACCTCCCCCCCTGCCCTGCCCCAAAGGGAACAATGGGGAAGGTCTGAATCCCCCGCCCTTTACTAGTGAGGGGCTGTGACCCCTCCCTCACTCCTGAAGGACTACAGGACACTGGTCCCCTTAGCCCAGAGGGGAAGCTGATCTGTCCTTGTGTTGGGAAGATCCTGGGTTTCAGAGAAGCCTGGGAAGATTTGTCTAAATTCATGCATTGTGAAGTGAGCAGAACCAGAGAACAATTTATACAATAACAATTTCATTAAAGCAAATGCCTTCGAAAGACTTAAAAATCTGGAGGCATGATTCCAGAGAATCAGTGTTGAAGGAGACTACTCCCGTCTTGACAGAGCAGTGGTGAGCTCAGGGTGCCAAAAAAAAGATATGTGTCTGTGTATACATACACAAGTACACATATATGTATGTATGAATATATACACACAAATATATGCATATATAAATATATACATAAATACACACATATTTTTGGACACATGGGAATTTGTTTGCTTGAATATGAGTATTTTGCTTGAGTATTCATAATGCATATTACAAAGGTTTTTTTCTTTCATTTTATGGGGAATTTCAGGCAGGAAGAAACGAAAACAGATTTTTGTTCATTAAAAACTAATTAAAATGATAAACCAGACTTCAGAAATAAGTTCAATGATAACCATGCCCTGGGGATGCTGCTGAGGTCTGATTCCTGCCTCTTGGATGGGTTAGAGGAGCAGAGTGAGCCTTTGGCCACCACCTGATTGTTTTGCTTGACTATAATAACACTAGCTAGCATGTATCTAGTGATTTAAGAGTTGCAAAGTGCTTCACAAATATTCTCTCATTTGGTCTTCATAGCCCTGGGACCTAGGTGCTCTTATTCTCATTTCACAGATGAGGAAACTGAGGAAGACACAGGTTAAGTGACTTGCCCAGGGTCACACAACTAGCAAGTATCTGAGACTGGATTTAATTCACACCTTCCTGACTCCAGGTCTCTGTTCTGTGACACCTGCTACCTCTTAAACAGTTATATGCCTCTTAACTGACCATACTAATTTGTTATGAGGGACAGCTTTTATTGGATTTGAGTACAATGATAGCGTTGGGGAAAAAGAAGAAAAAAAAGATACAAGTATCAGTGAAACATATAGAAGTATCCAGAGGACAGCAGAAGGATGTTCACAGGTGGACATAGAGAGTCTGCTGATAAATGCATTGGCTCCCCGCTTGGGAAAAAAATGAAAGGACCATCTTAAAATAACCATAGCTAGCATTTATACAGTGCTTGCTACAGGCTAGGTGCTTTACACGTATTTTGTCATCTGATCTTCACAATGGCCCTGGGAGGGAGGGGTTATTATGAGTCCCCTTTTACAGCTGGGGAAATGGAGGCTAAGTGACCTACCCAAAGTTACACAGCTAGAGCCCAGATTTGAACTCAGGTCTTCCTGAGACCAAGCCCAGTGCTCTATCTACTGCACTCCCTAGCAGCCTTATTATGACTATTGTTGATGTTGTTTTTATTATTAATGTGGAAAGTAACAGCCCTGACAGTTCCATTCTGCTCATGTTGAGAGTGTTCAGTTAAGGCACGTTTTAGAAAAGACATTGATAAGCCAGAGAGTATCCAGAGCCTTCGGGATGGTGAAGGGCCTCAAATAAAACTGATGCAACTTAAAAAAAAAAACCAATACAACTAACTGTACATGGTAGATCCATGGTTTCATATGGAATCCTCTTTTTTCTGTCTTTGTATATGGAAATGCTTATTTTTTTTACTATCTATCAAGGTCACAATAACAGTATTTATTTTTCTAAAAAGAAAAGAAAGTGGGTCATTGAAACATGTAAAAATGGCAGAGCAGAGAACAGAAGTAAGTTTGGTGGGAGCTGAAGACAAGAAGACTACATTGAAATTAACTTGTTGAACTTATCAAATGACTAAAAAAACCCCAAGCTGTTCATAACAGAGATTCACAATGTCTACAATTCTCTTTCTCTCTTATTCTTTTCCTATGGGAATGTTCATATTGATTGGTATTTGTTCAGTTCTGAATTAGAAAAAGATGATTTTTTTAAAAAGAAATATTCCAAGTGAAGGAAGAGCCTAGGGCTCTCTGAGTGTTTGAAAGTTGGAAAATGGAATGTGGGAAGAGGGAACATCTTCTACGACAGGAAACTGAGGATACTGTTCATGAACTCATGGGGCTTCTGGATATGGAGGATGTGGCTAGCATCAGGGATGGTCTGGAACTGGTCTTCAGGGAATAGAAGTTTGTTCTTGACGTAGTGACTTGGCCTGGCAAGAGAGAATGAAAGAGGTGAAGAGAGGGAGAGAGGAAAGGAGAAGGTGGAAGAGAGGGGGAAAGAAGAAGAGGGAGAGGGTATAGGATGAGAGAAAAGGAAAGGAAGAAAAGAGACAGCAACAGGAGAGATAGACAGAGACAGAGAGAGAAACAGAGAGAGAGACAGAGATAGACAGAGACAGAAAAGGAGGCAGAGAGAGACATAGAGAAGGGAAAAAATGGGTCAGAGAGTCAGAAACAGGCAGTCACAAAGGTAGAGGGTGAGCGGTGGGTATGGGAGGTGACAGTAGGAAAAACAGGCTAGGCAAACAGAAAAGATAAGGTGAGATAATACACATGTTTTCTTCCACTGTTGGAGGAACCCTCCCCTCCACAATTCAAGCATAGCTGAAGCCCCCAGGTGCCCTCATCTTCAGTGATGGAGAACCCAACTGGGGCCCCTCCACCTTCTGGCTCTGCCTTATGGGATGAAGGATGAATTGGTGCTTCTGAGGAAGAGTGTGGGGCCATGATAGACTCCCTGGATCTGAAACTACCCAGAAGCAAGTTTTGTTGCTGCCACAGGTTTTCAGCATTGACTTTCCACACATCCTGCCCATTGACCCGCACCAAACTGTTGAACAGATACTGCCGAATACTTGAATCCTGGAGGGTACAAGGGCTCAGCTGGCACACCCACTTGAGCCCCTGTCTTCTCCTCAGCAGTATCCCTTTCTCAGTCCTACCCAGACCAGATTCCAGCTCATTTCTAGACACCATTTTCCCTTCATGTCAACTTAGTAAATGCCTCCAGTCGATATAGAAAGTGCTGAGAATACAAAGAAAAGCAGAAGATAGGGCTGGCCTTGGAGGAGCTCATAATTGAAGCCCTCTCTGTTCTCCTTAACCTGTCCCCTCTCCCAAGAGATTTTCTCCTTCTGGGTTACATTCCACTCTCCACTCCGTCCCCACTCTCCTGAGGATTCCAAACTCAAGTGATTGGCTTGTGGCTTCAGCAGCCCATCTCCACACCCCCAGCCCTGGGGGTCCTGAAGGATCACCTTGACAAATAGCTTCAGATACTCATCAACTACTTCAAAAGCTTCAGAGTTGGAAACATCTCCAAGGATGTTTATAGCCTTCATAACAGGTATAATTTCAAAGATCTTTGGGATGTCGGTGGCCACCAAGGGGCTGACATCCACTGAGACCAGACGTTCCACCAGCTCTGGCTAAAGGAGAAAGTCCATCACACAATGATCAGTGAACAATGCCCTCCCTCCTCTTCCATGCACCTAGTGATGGTACTAGAGCAGATAAAGTGGGAGCCATGGTCCCTGAAGGAGAGGGATGGGGGACTATAGATAGGTGCCCATTTCATAGCCTGTAAGTGGTCCTGATGCCAGCCTTCCTGTTTGCATGCTCTGGGTTAGCCATGGAGAGGTGGTGACATTTATGAAGAAAAGTTCTTAGAACTTGACTCTGAACCCTGAAATCTCCCAGGCCCGGGGGAGGCATCCACAACTTCCCTTCAGTCCATTAGGATGTAGAAAGATGAAGTGTGTACAGTAAAGCTCATGTTATTCCCCCAGGAACTCTCTGTTTCCAGTCCCAGTGTTCACTCACAGCCTCATTCCACCCCCAACCCCACAAGCAGCTGGCTGAGCATGATGAATCTTTGGTGTTGCTTATGGGGTTACAGGCTGCTGTTGCCTGCGGACAAGTATGACTCTCTGCCCCTTCAGCCCTAGCGGGGCTCCCTCACCTTCTGCAATGCCAGCGCCATGGCTGTCTTGCCTCCCATGCTGTGCCCGATGAGGACACAGGGGCTGAGTCCTAGCTTCGACAGCAGAGCCTGCAGGTCGGCGCTCGTGGCCTCATAGCTGCAGTCAGGGCTATGAGGGCTCTCTCCATGGTTCCTAGCATCCACTGTCAATACCTGGGGGGAAGAGACTTGGAGTTATCAGTCTCCCTGATTCCTCCTCCTTCCCTCTTAACCCTGGGGGTGCTGACCCACTGCCAGCAGTTGATGGAGGCTTCCTGAGGACTCTTAGACCGTCCAGGAAGCCAGGAGGGTACTGAGTAATCCCTGATAATAGGAGGAAGTGGGGAAGATGGGACCATAGGAGGACTAAAGCATTAGAAAGGAAAATATTCTGGCCCCCACTCCCCATGACTGTCCCTAGTGCTGGCCCTTCTACTCTCTGTTTCTTGAGTCTCTGATTCCCTCTTTTCCTGACTTTCAGCTGTCTTCCATTTCCTTTTGCTTTATGATGTTAGGAAGGAAAGTAACTAGTAATTTCATTAACCATAAAGGCATTACAATTACTATTCATTACTAGGAATGTGTGCCATTCAAAATAAATTTTTAAAAAAGGTTCAATTGAACCATGTCAATACCTTCAAGATGAGTAGAATTCCAGGTGTCAGTAGTGGAGATATGTAGAGGGCAGGGGACCTTGGCTAAATCTCCAGGCTGAAAGGGATCTCTGGTCCAACTCTCGGCTGAACAAAAATCCCCCTATCAAGTGATCATCTGGCTTTTGCACAAAAGTCTCCTGTGAAAAGGAACCCACTACATCCAGTGGCAGTTTGTAGATAGACTTCCTGGTGCCCCTCAAGTCATCCCCTTTGAGTGAAGGTCTATCCCACCATGACAGCTCCTGCCTCTCATTTCAACCTCCCCCATCCCCCTACATTCTCTCTTTCCCCGCTTACTCTGACTTTGTCCCTCCCCAAAGACTGTTCCCTCTTTCACCTCATCCACTTTTGGGAATCTTTACCTTCCTGCCTGTCTGCTGTGCCAGGGCCTCAGCCTCAGCCTGGAAGATGTTTTTGTTGCTAAACAGCCCATGCAGGAAAACGACAGGTGGGAGGGTGTCCTGACCATCCAGGAGCCTGTAGGAGAGGGGCACTGGCCTGGCCAGGGTGAGGAGAGAGGAGGGCAGAGGAGGAGGGATGGATCACATCAGGAGATATGTAGGAATATGGGATTGTAGGGGAGTACAGGGTCTCTTGGGCTTTCATCTCCCCCATGCAGGTGCCTGTGATGGAGAAGTGTGCATGTTCATCCACAGGAGGAACTGTCAGAGTGTGGCTTGGAAGGTCTGGGACAGGAGAGGAGGAAGAAACATCCCAGGTCAAGTGGATGTCAGAGGGCAAGCTAGGGAGGAGGGAGGAGGTCAGGGCTGGCTATAAGGAGGGGGAGATGAAAGAGGTGAGGTTTGGGAGAAGCAAAAACAGGAGAAGGGAGAGAAAGAGGAGAGCTGGGATGGTCCATGTAGGAAGAGAGGAAGGAAAAGAGGGGAGGGCTGACCAAGGGAAGGCAAAGAAGGGTAAAAGGGAGAGAGGTGAACTGAGGGGATGTAGGAAGGAAGAAAAGGAGGGAGGGAAGGCGGTCAGGAGGGAGGGGGTCAGGAAAAGAAAGGCATTAGTTCAGGGAAAGAGATGGGAGAGCAGAACTGGAGGGGAGGAAAAAAGGGCAGGAGAAAGTTGGAGAATCAGAAGGAGAGGTCGAGGCCAGGAAAGAGCAAAGGTGGCCCTGTGTGCTCTGGACTGACCTGGGTCTGCTGCTCCCAGCAGAGTGGCCATGGGTGATAGTTGGCTTTGTGAAGATCCCTAGAGGTTTCGAGCCCATTGCCACATACTGAGGGAGCACACCTGCCTTCTACTCTCACCCTTTGTACTCCACAACTTGTCCCTGCCAGGGCCCTGCCCATGGCTTGTCCCACCCCTCCACTGCTCAGGGCAGCCTTGACCCTCTCCCTTCTCCAGCCTTCTTCCTCCTCTCAGCTTCCTCACATCTAATTCACACTTGTTTCCATTGAACTGTGGTTCAGTCCCCCAAGTGCTCACTTCTTAAACAGACCTAATCCCTGGGTGGGCATTGCCTCAGTCAAAGTGAGAACTTGGAAGGACCTGAGCTTAAAAAGGCCAAAGTCTCCCACTGTATCCAGGGCCATCTCCTGTTGTCCTGATCTATGTCTAACCACTGGACCCAGATGACTCTGGAGGGGAAAGTCAGGCTGGAGACTTTGCACAGCCCTCCCTCACTTCAAACCAATTCACTTGCAATTCATGGCACCATCTCCTAACGTCATGGTCCTTTTTGAGAATGAAGGATAAACCACAAGACATTCCAACCTTTGACCTAAAGAAGGGAATGGAAAGGGAATTATGATTTTCATATTTATTGATATGATACATTTAATGAATATACTGATAACTTTGATTTCTCAGGAGACTTTGGCTTGGGAGTCAGAGACTTACAATGCAAGTCGAAATGGTCAATCAAACCCTCGACAACGCTCTCACAATCACTCCATTCCTGTGCCTGTGTGTTAAGTGAAGCTAATCGAAGACGATAGAACCTGGTCCAATCACAATCTGCTCCTATGCCCCACCATGTAATGGCCCCCAAAGAACTGGAAAAATGCTGTTCCCATAGGACTCCAGAACACCCACATTGTCTTGCTCTTGTGGGCTTATTGTGGTAAACCACTCAGGCCCTGGAAATGATTGTTTGTAATGCACCTCCCCCACCCTGCCTTTCCCGCTTGTGATTTATGCATATAACCTGTGCCTTTGCTCTAGCTTAGAGAGCATTCCTCACTCTGAAACCTATTTATTAAACACTACTTGTTTCCTGGTGCTCTTGTGTCTGGCCTGCTTCGAGGGGCTCCAGGTCTTCACAGGTTAGAGACAGGGTCCTGCCCAGACTACATTTAAAATTCTGTTAACAAAGGTTAGTGCCACAGAGTTGGAGAAGTGAAAGGGGCCTGCAGGGCCACCTAATGCATCCCATCCAGTGAAGGAATCCCCACTGCAACATCCCTGACAAGTGGTCATCCAGCTTGAAGTCCTTAAGGAAGGGGATCCCAGCACCTCTCCAGGAAGCTCATTCTACCTTGGACAGATCTGCTAGTGGGTTTTTCTTAAGAACAAACTTAAATGAACCTTTTTTGTGATTTCTACATATATTATGCTTCCCTCTGGATCCAAATAGAGCAGATGTAATCCCTTCTCTACGTAATAGCATAACACTTGAACACAGTGTTCACTTCTCCCCTGAGTCTATTCCTTTCCAGGCTAAACATACCTGTGCTCAAAAAAAGAAACCGAAAGCAGGAGAGGCAGTGAAAGCTTTGAGTTCCTGCCACAGGCTCACCTAGAAGACCATATGCTGCAGCTGCCATGAGCTGCTGAAGAGAGGAAAGGGGCAGCTCCTTTCCTCCCCATAGAAAGTCCAAGAGACATTGCTTTCAAGCCAAATGTTTGGAAAAGAGACATGAGAGGATGAGAACAAAAGTTGTCTCTTCCCCCAAAATCTAATGAGTGGCCACTCTTTCTGCTCTGTGGCCAATTCTCTTTGACAGAGTGTCCCTTCCCAATCACAGGTGATGGTGAGGAGATGGCACTTGGGTACCAACTAGTGGTTCCACAAGAGACCAGAGCACACATCTTTCCAGAAGTGTCCAGGGTCCAGGTTCAGAGCTACACATGATCCATGGGATGCCCCATCCCCCAAACCCATCCCCAAGTGGGCTGCAATCCACCGTGATGCTCCTCCCACCAACCTCCACTGCCTCAACAAAAAGAAAAGATTTGGGAGAAAATATGAGGAGGTTAGACTAGATGTTTTCAGAGATTCCTTTCTCTCTCTGTCTCTGTCTGTCTGTCCTCTTTTCCTCTTTCTCAGTTCACTGATGGCACCTCCTTTTTTCTGGTACTTGCTCTTCACTCTCCTCACCCCTCTCCCCGCTTCACCTCCCCACCCTTTCACCTTCACTCTATACCAGTCTGGTAGCTTTATTCTTGTTAATCTTCATGCACAGGCATCCTCCTACTTTTTCATTAGGGGCACTTCCATGGAGGGACAGAGAGGTCATGATGAGAACCTGTGAGGTCCTAGAATTCCCTCCCAGCTTGGTGGTGCAATGGATAGAGCACTGGGCCTGGAGTCAAGAAAACTTGAATTCCAATCTAGCCTCAGACACTTATTAGTTGTGCGACCTCTGTCTGCCTCAGTTTCCTCATCTATAAAATGGGAAACCCCATTTTAATAGCACCTACCTCTCAGGGGTATTGTGAGGATCAAATGAGATGATATTTGTAAAATGCTTAGCACAGTGCCTGGCACTTAGTAGGTGCTTAATAAATGCTTGGTTTTTGTTTTCCTCCATCCTTGATGGGAGGAAATTCCCCCTAGGCTTAAGCATTGCATGAGCCTAGCCCAAACCCTGCATTTTACAAGGAGGGAAACTGAAAGTCAGAGGAGAAGATAACCTGTTCTTGGTCACTTTTCAAGTGCCTGGTGGAAATGGAATTCAAATGCAGATCTACCTCATTCCCCTACCAACCCAAAGGGACAGGGCAGGACCTCCCAGCGTGTCTTGTGTCCTACCCTGGAGAATCCTAGACTGAACCAGGCAAGATAATATTAGCAGTTAGGATTTCTTTGTTTTGGAGCCAGTTTGAGAGAGTTTGAAGATCTATGAAAAGCTGCCCGGGGTAGGGGCGGGGGAGGGGGAGGGTGGAGATTGGGGGGGTGGGGGTGTGGGGGAGATCTGCTGAATATAAAGTCCATAACGTCTTCCTGGGATACCTTAGCATAGAACAAGGCAGTGCACAAGTTCTATCACATGGCATAGCCGTACCAGATCTCAAAACTATATTATAAGGTGGAGTCATGGAAACTCTTTGAAATTGCTTAGAGTGTGGATCAGTGGGATAGTTAGGTACACAAGACACAGCAGTAAATAACTATAGTAATCTAGTGTTTGATAAAAGACTCCAGCTTCTGGGATAGGACTTACTATTTGAGAAAAACTTCTGGGAAAACTGGAAAATAGTAAGGCAGAAAGTAGGTATAGTATAGACCAAATAGAAAGTAGGTATAGTATAGAGTATAGTATCTCACACTGAGTATCAAGATAAGGTGAAAATGGGCACATGATTTAGACATAAAGAAAGGGGAATCCCTTGACCCCTCAAATATCTCCCAGGCTATCCCCCCTGAACTAGACACTCTCTCATCTTCTGCCCATCTTGACCCCTTGGTGAACTAAGAGAAACCAAGAGAATTCAACTCTACATTGTCCTCTCCTGAATCTCTGGCTCCCTTATCATACCACCAAATATGCCTAAGCCTGAGCTTTGCATCATTCCCACCACCTGTCATTTCACTCATACACATAGTGGAAAAATCATACAGCGGTTCTGATGGGACATCGGCAATATTGTGTGATGACCAACTTTGATAGACTTGGCTTTCTCAGCAATACAATGATCTAAGACAATTCCAAAAAACTCATGATGGAAAATGCTATCCATATCCAGAGAAAGAACTATGGAGTCTGAATGCAGATCAAAGCACACTATTTTCTCTTTCTCTTTTTTTCCCCTTTCTCATGGATTTTCCCTTTTGTTCTGATTCTTCTTTCACAACATGACTAATGTGGAAATGTTTTGTTTTGTTTTGTTTTTTAAAGAGACATCCTTGAGGAAGACTTTAGTAGGGAGCAGACAGTCTTTTCTTAATAATATTTCCACAGTAGACCATATCTTTACCATTACATAATTGACTGAATGATGTTGACTTCAAGGTTTCACCTTGTTTATGTTTTTTGACTCTCTTTAAAAGCATTTAATTTGGTAGGATGAAAATACCACCTTATGGCTCTCTTCCAATAAGGTGTGTCTATGCATACATCAAAATTCTTTGACATGTCTGTGCCAGCTCAAACAATAGAGATTACCTTGTTCACCTGTCATCTAATTATCAACATTAGGTAAAGCATACAATAATGTGACAGAGTCACTAAAGGTACTTGTCACTGTCTTGTAGAAGACCCAAAGCAGTATCCAGTTTGAAGAGGGATTCCCAATAGGTCATCATTATCATAATAGTTAGCATTTATATAGTGCTTTAAGGTTGTCAAAGCACTTTACAAATATCTTTTTTCCCCCTCAAAACAACCTGGGGAGGCAATACCCAGGGTAATATCCCCATTCTATCGATGAGAAAACTGAGGCACACAGAAGTTAAACGACTTTCTCAGGGTCATGTAGCTTAGTGTCTGAGGATGGATTTGCACTCACCTTCCTGATTTCATGTCTAGTCCTCTATCCACTGAGTCAGATAGCTGATAAAGTCCTCCAGATGCCCTTTTTGCACATTATATTGTGCAAAGTAAATCAAATCCTTGACGGTTTCAGGGCCTCCTGAATGAGATCCATAAGCACTCAAGACTTTGGTCAATCTTTATAGGGCCATACCTTTGATCTTACCCTCACCCACAGATGTATTACCTTCATGTTCAAGAGTTCCAAAGTCCCCTTATGGTTACATAACCTATAGGTTTTCACCTCTCCCTCTGCCTTCCCTTACAAAACTACTCATTGCCTGAACTGCAATGTGACCTACAATCCCTCGGCCCCTCAAATATCTTTTAGGCTATCTCCTCTGAGCTAGCCACTCTCTTATCTTCTCGTGAACTAAGAGAAACCAAGAGAATCCAACTCTACATTGTCCTCTCTTGAATGTCTGGCTCCCGTATCATATCACCAAATGTCTAAGCCTAAATTTTGCA